CTCTGTTTCTCCCCCTCACTCCCTCCTTTCCTCCCTCCCTCCCCCTCTGTGTGTGTGTGTGTGTGTGTGTGTTTCTCTCTCCCCCTCTGTTTCTGTCTCTGTCTCTCTCTCTGTGTCTCTCTTCCTCTCTCTCTCTCTCTTCCTCCCTCTCTGTTTCTGTCTCTGTCTCTGTTTCTCCCCCTCCCTCCTTTCCTTCCAACCTCCCTCCCTTCTTTCCTCTCTCTCTCTCTCCCTCTCTCTCTCTCTCTCTGTGTGTTTCTCTCTCCCCCCTCTGTTTCTGTCTCTCTCTGTCTCTGTCTCTGTCTCTCTGTCTCTGTCTCTCTCTCCCCCCCCTACTCACTCTGTTTCACTTTTCCAATGACTTCACCTACTGCTTATCCCACCAGGCCCACCCTAGGCTCAGAGCTGCTTACTATAACTTCAGTTCTCAGTTCCTTTCAGTGGATGCACAAATAGTCACTGACCAGGAAGCTTGGTGTCACTCACTGTCACTGCTCCCTTTTTTTCTGCTCCCAGCTGTCTTGAGGTTACAAGGAAACCTTGCAACCAGCCCCACAGAAGGGCAGCCAGCCCCGCACAGCCAGAGCTTCCCTCCACACCTTGTCTTCAGAGGACACAGAAGCTGGACCTTACAGGTTCCTGGAGAATCTCTCCAGCAAGCACGTCTTTATTTGACCTGAGTCTCACTACAAAAGCTTTTCTCTGGAGGTGTTTGTTGAAAACAACTGGAAGAAATTGACTTTCTATCTGCCAGACACAGGAGATAAGAGTTGACACAAATACCAGACTAACTAGAAAACCTGAGAAGAAAAAATGGGGATCCAGTGGGCTACTGGGGTTTGGAAAGGTTCCGACTGGGTCTTGGGAGTCCAAATGCTAGTGCATGTATAGGGCTAGTACATGTGAGAGTTCTCAGGGAAGATCTGAGGAGTCCTCGGTCTTTCGGCCCCAGCTGACCTGGAGGCTCTGCACATGGAGGAAGTGAAGGCAAAGGCAGAACTGAAGAGACCTGAGTGTGGAAGGCCCGACTCAGTGCATACATAGCCCCCTCACAGAGATGAGGAGCCCTAGACCTCTGCCTGTTATTAGCTGACTGAGAACCAATCAAACAGAGCCTTCAGAGGTCAAATAGGACAAGGAATACAAACCTCACAAAACAAAGTTTTTACATGTTGTCCAGCAATGACAACAACAAGTCAGAAAGCACCCCATTCAGGAAAATGGAGATTTAAATTTCCAGCTGTCACATACTAGCTATGTCCAGATTTCAGGAACGATTATATGAGACATGAGAAACAACAATAAGTTGTTGGTTCAGATGCAGGGAAGCTAGCCACTAGCCCAAGACCTCAAATCACATGTTTCAAGTGTGTTCAGAGAAGAAAAGACAATCATGACCAAAAACTGAATGAAGCTAGAAAAGCCTCATTTCATCAGATAGAGAATCTGAGGGAGGCCAAAGATGCTGGGCCTTAAGAAGGGTAGAGCTGAAAATGCAATGCTAGAAGGGAAAGTTCACAGCAGACTCTAGAAGGCAGGGGAATGTCAGCAAGCTGGAAGGCAGGTGGGGGAGTGGAGCTTATCCTTCTAAAGAAAACTAAGAAACAGTAATAATAATAATAAAAAAATCCGAGCCGAGGCTCAGGGATGTGTGGTGTGTTGCTGAGCATACGAGAAGGAGGAGGGGGAGGAGAGAAGGGTAGGGAAGAAGGTTTATGTGTGTGCACACTCAGGGAAGTCAGAGGACAACTTGGTGGGTTGAGCTCTTTCTTTTTATCATGTGGGTTCTTGGAATCAAATCCCTGTGGTCCGTCTTGCACAGCAAAGCTTTGTCACTGGGCCACCTCACTGGATTCAGGAAGGAAGTTTTAAGAGCAATTGTCAAAACTTAAGGCTAATACGCTGTATAAAGCAAAGCAAAGCAAAACATACAGAACCAATGATCTCAGAGCGTTCTGAGTCAGGGGACTGTAAAAGGATCTACACACGATTCACGGCATCCTCAAGTTCTAAAAGTCAAAGATGAAGAGGGACCCTTGAGTCAGCAGGGGACAGGTGGCCTGTAGGTCAACAAGAGCTAACAATGAAGAAGCTGCCCAAAGGCTGTGGGCTGAGATAGTAAAGCCCTGCAAGAATAGAACCATCAACCAAGCTTCCATGCCCAGCAAAACTAACCTTCAGGACTGAAGGAGAAATTCAGACATCCCAAAGTAAGGCAACTGAGGGACACCCATTACTGCAGCACCACTAGGAAGAGCTCTTCAGACTGGAATTGAAGGATGCAGGCAACGACTCAAATCCACAGGTGGGGGCCAGAAAGCCAGGGAAGGCAAACGTGTGGGCAACTATGCCAGTGGACGTTTTTGCTTGTGTTTCCCCCTATTTGATAGAGCAATAGTTATAAACCATGATGATAGGCAATCAACATAGTAAGGTGTGAGTTGTTTGAAAACAGTAGCCCACAAAGTATGTGTGTGTGGACGGAGGGCTCGTTGGAGCCAAGACTTTCTAATTCTGCGAAAAGTCAAACTGGTATAATTCTAACACATGGGGGATATAAATGAAGATATCAATTTAGCCCTCAGGGAAACACAAGTAAGAAAATTACTCTAAATAACATGGGGGGAGGGAAATGGCAAGGAAAGCACAAAGGTGCCCTAGAAAAATACCTATTTACTACAAAAAACACAATACCGAATACATGGGACAAAAATGGCATCTGACCAACAGAGAGCTAGCAGCAGGTTTGCAGTAGATGCTGTTTGCAGAAGATGTGAACACAAATGGGCTGGCTGTGAAGGGACAGATGAATTCAACTGTGCGGCCATCTCTAAAAGGGATGCTGCACCCATCCAAAGATGGCAAGCACCATAGACACTGAAGAAAGTGTTTAACAAGACTAAGTCTTTTTCATAGACATGGTTCTAGTTTTATTTCTCTTCCTATGATAAAATATCCTGCCTCCCTCAAAAATCACAACTCGGGGGAAGGATTTATTTTAGCCTATGATTCCAGGTTATAGTCCGTTGTTGCGGGAAAGGTAGGATGCCCACCACATTGCAGGCATAGACAAGAACAGAGAGAGAACGCAGCAGTGCATGCTCATTGCTCAGGTTGCTTTCTCTATTATTATACAACCTTAACTGGGGAAGCAATGGACATTTTCAGCTTTAGAACAGAGGAAGACAACACCCGCACCACCCCTTGCCCCAGACATGCCTACCTGATCTAGACAATCCCTCTTAGAGACTCTCCTTTTGACAATTAGACCTGGCCATGACAGGTACCACTGAGAATACAGAGCTATCCTGGCACACATATGCTTTAAAAAGGGAGTCTTCCACAGAGGGAGTAGCAGCAGAGGGTGTGGCGGAAGTGGAGAGAGACAGGTCAACTCTAAGAGCAGAAAAATTGAGAGTCCCACTTTCACCAAGGGGTGAAGTGAGTGAGCAGAGGCTCAGCAAGGACACAGAGCC